GGCTCGACTGGTGGGCGGCCGGGCGGCTCGGCTGCAGCGCGGCTCGGCGGCGGGGCGGCTCGGCTGCTCTGCTGCTGGGCGGCTCGGCTGCGCTGCTGTTGGGCGGCTCGGCTGGGCCGCTGACGTAGGGCGGCGGGGCCGCTGAAGAAGGACGGCGGGGCCGCTGGGTAGTGAGGCGGCGGGGCCGCGAAGACGGGCGGCGGGGCCGCTGCAGAGAAGCGGCGGGGCCGCTGTGAAGGGCGGCGGGGCCGCAACGAGAGAGGCGGCGGGGCCGCAGCGAGAGAAGCGGCGGGGCCGCGAAGTCGGGCGGCGGGGCCGCTGAGTAGGGCGGCGGGGCCGCAGTGAGAGGCGGCGGGGCCGCAGCGAGAGAGGCGGCGGGGCCGCGAAGACGGGCGGCGGGGCCGCTGAGACGGGTGGCGGGGCCGCAGTGAGTGGCGGCGGGGCCGCAGCGAGAGATGGCGGCGGGGCCGCGAAGACGGGCGGCGGGGCCGCAACGAGAGAGGCGGCGGGGCCGCAGAAAAGGGCGGCGACGGGCCGTAGGCGGCGCGAAGCCGCAGGTAAGGGCGGCGACGGGCCGGGGCGGCTCGAAGCCGCAGGTAGAGGCGGCGCGAAGCCGCGGGAAGGGCGGCGACGGGCCTGGGCGGCGCGAAGCCGCAGGTAGGGGCGGCGCGAAGCCGCCGGTGAGGGCGGCGCAAAGCCGCGGGTAAGGGCGGCGACGGGCCGGGAAAAGGGCGGCGCGCCGCAGCCGCTAGGGCGGCTCGACGCGACCGTAAGGGCGGCGCGACGGGCCGCTAGGTGCGACTCGACGGGCCGCTAAAAAAAAGGCAGGCGCGACTCGAGGCGCGCTTCGGTGGGCCCAAGGAACAGTCCCTAGGAGGGGACCTGCTCTGATTCCATGTGAGAATGAGAACGAGAATGAATGAACTATGAAATGAAGTGAGTACAAATATGAAACCCTAATTGGTTGTACCCCCTATGGGATACCCCACTATAGCCTACATAACAGCATAAGCTACAATGTTCTGACATTACCTGCTCGAGAAAAAAAAAAATCGCCCGAGTTCGTCACCCTTCGTCGCGCCAATAAAGTTTACACCGAAGAAAGACGGGGGATTTTGCATGTGCATAGATTACCGCGCACTCAATAGGGGTATGATCAGGTCCCGTTACCCCATCCCGCGAGTCGACGAACTGATCGATCAACTTCGCCCAGCCCGCATTTTCTCGAAGATCGACCTCCAAGGGGGTGACCATCAGATCCGCGTCAACCCACCCGACTGCCTAATGACCGCTTTTCGCACCCGCTACAGTTCATTTGAATACACCGTCATGCCTTTCGAACTGACCAACGCCCTCGACACATTTACTCTGAGATAAGTGCGTAATCGTCTACTTAGACGATATACTGATCTACAGCACAGACCGAGCACATCATTTACAGGACATCGAAGAAGTTTTTAAAGTATTGAGTGAAAACCGCCTATTGACCAAAGCCTCAAGTGTGAGTTTTTACAAGACAGACTGGGTTTTTGGGCCATGTTATTTCTGCCAACGGCATGGAAATAGACCCGAAGAAGATCGTGAGGATTCAAGCATGGCACGCACCAACAAATCTGACCGAGTTGCATAGTTTTCTGGGGTTCGTCAACTACGTGCGATGGTTCATTCCCGACTTGGCAAAGCTGACTGCCCCGCTGACCGATCTCCTGAGGAAGGGGGTTGAGTACACGTGGGGGGAGAAAGAGCAAGCTGCCTTCTCGGCCCTAAGAGATATTTTGTGCTCGCCGCCCGTGCTTCACATTGCTGATCCTCACCGTCCGTTCGAGCTGGTCACCGACGCAAGTGACATCGCTCTGGGAGCAGTAGCATTGCAGGACTTCAGGAACGACCTTCAGCCAATTGCGTATGAGTCCCGCAAGCTTCACTCGCCCGAACGCAACTACCCGATACACGACCGCGAGATGATGGCGATCGTGCACACCTCACAGGAGCCGACGTGACAGTACAGACAGATCACCGTTCACCACAGTACCTCCGCACCCAACTAAACCTCAATCCGCGACAAATCCGATGGTTGGACTATCTGGAGTCCAAATTTCACTACACTGTTACGTACAAAAAAGGGGCATCAAATATCGCTGACGCCCTCACCCGACCCTTGCTCCTGTTGCTGCTGCTGCTGCTGCTGCCGCTGCTGTCGCTGCTGCCGCTGCTGCCGCTACTGCCGCTGCTGCCCTTGTTGCCCTGGTTTTCCTGGTTTTCCTAGTTGTCCTGGTTGTCCTGGTCGTCGTCGTCATTGTCGTTGTCGTTGTCGTTGTCGTCGTCGTTGTCGTTGTCGCTGTCGTTGTCGTTGTCGTTGTAGTCATCGACGTCGTCGTTGTCGTTGTCGTTATAGTCGTCGTCGTCGTCGTCGTTGTCGTCGTCGGTGTCGTCGTCGTCGTCGTTGTCGTCATCGTCGTCGTTGTCGTTGTCGTTGTCGTTGTCGTTGTAGTCATCATCGTCGTTGTCGTTGTCATTGGCGTTGTCGTTATAGTCGTCGTCGTCTTCGTTGTCGTCCTCATTGTCGTCGTCGTCGTCATGGTCGTCGTGGTCGTGGTCGTCGTCGTGGTCGTGGTCGTCGTCGTCGTTGTCGTTGTCGTCGTTGTTGTTGTTGTTGTTGTCGTCGTCGTTGTTGTCGTTGTCGTCGTCGTTGTTGTCGTTGTCGTCGTTGTTGTCGTTGTTGTTGTTGTTGTTGTTGTTGTTGTTGTTGTTGTTGTTGTTGTTGTTGTTGTTGTTGTTGTTGTTGTTGTTGTTGTTGTTCTTGTTCTTGTTCTTGTTCTTGTTCTTGTTCTTGTTCTTGTTCTTGTTCTTGTTCTTGTTCTTGTTCTTGTTCTTGTTCTTGTTCTTGTTCTTGTTCTTGTTCTTGTTCTTGTTCTTGTTGTTCTTGTTCTTGTTCTTGTTGTTCTTGTTCTTGTTCTTGTTGTTGTTGTTGTTCTTGTTGTTCTTGTTCTTGTTCTTGTTCTTGTTCTTGTTGTTGTTGTTGTTGTTGTTGTTGTTGTTGTTGTTGTTGTTGTTGTTGTTGTTGTTGTTGTTGTTGTTGTTGTTGTTGTTGTTGTTGTTGTTGTTGTTGTTGTTGTTGTTGTTGTTGTCTCCCCTTACACTCTCATACCGTCATCACCCGGATATAAGACAGTGATGAATAGAAGACAGGGGGTGTTTTTAAAACGGGTGTCTCTTATAAATGGGTGTTCCTGATTATAAGACACATGTAGGTGTGTGCGAGTTAAGGCAGTGTCTTCTAAACAGTACTGTATTAGGGTTTAGGGGTGATCTTATAACGAGGGGGTACCTTCTAAACGGTTCTTTGTCCATTTATAAGACTTATAAGACACCCTAAACCGTCCCAGCTACAAGACAGCTCAAACATTTTTTCTAGGGTATAAGATAAGACATATATGTCTTATATCCGGGCGATGACGGTACCATGTTGGATTGAGAAAATGCCCTTAGCATCTATTTTAGAATAAATAGTGAAGGGAGGCCCAGCTTGAATTTGCGGCACTGTTTCGGGAGGGTGCCCAAGCTCGACACGAACGGGATCACTGTTCACGGAAACTTTGTGTGTCTAGGGTTGGGTGGCTGAAGACACCATATGGTTGGATAGCGACGTCCCGGTTGTAATGCGAACAAGGACATTGGTGGGACTATTCGCCAATTCCTTACTAGCAAAAGCAGGGGCAATCATGTGCGACAGGATAACGAATACGAATTTCGTCAGAGAGGGGAGTTGATTACATGAAACGAACTTGCGCGAAAGAACAGGGCCATGAAAAAAGTGCTGAGGGCAGGAGCGAGCTCGACTGAATCCAGCAGGCTCACTCTAGTGCTTCAAATTGGACCTGGGTTGCACACCACCTTGTCATAACACTAGGGCCGCGCTCGATACTGCAGGGCATTCGCAGAATAGTCAAGGAAAGGTTAGAAGGGCTGCTGAGACTTGCAACCGCACCGCGAAGCCTGCTTGGCATTGTGTAAGTCTCTTATTACTCGCGCGCGCCTTGTCAGCCAGGAAAAAACGACGACATTTCACTTGGTAACGCAAGTTACGACGGGATGCATTCGTGCGGACTGCAATGCACAGCGCCTCTGCTACTCGGATTCAGTCGCCTTGCTAGGAAGCGCTTCTACTATAATGTGATATAGGATGGATTTTTAGGGTTGCGTCTCGCCACACTACTCGCTGACTTCACGATTGCAATGCATCAGTGCGCCTCTATGTTTCCAGACATATTGCAAGGCAATGTACCGCGCCTGCTCACTTGAGGACGGATTGCAGGGCACTCCGCCACGCATGCTCTTTTGGAGACAGAATGCAACGCGCAGCGCCGCGCATGCTCGTTTTAGGACGGAATGCTACTTGCTGCGACGCGCATGCTCGTGATGGACCGGAATGCAACGCGCTGCGCCTCGCCTGCTCGTGCAGGGACGGAATGAGGCATTGCGCCGTGCCTGCTCGTGCACAGCGCGGATTGCACGGCACTGCACTGACCATCCTCGTTTTCAAACGGATTGGATGGCCCTGCGCCGCACCTCCACAACCGTTGACGAATGGCAAAGCACTGCGCCGCGCCTGCTCATTTTGGGACGTCTCGCAATGCACTACGTCGCTGCCTGCTCACTACCATAAGCATTGCAAGTCACGGTGCCTCGCCTGCTTGCTTTCAGACGGATTGCAAGGCACTGTGCCTCGCCAATTTGTGAGCAGACCGATTGCAACGCACTGTGCCTCGCGCTTCCCGCGATCAGACGGAATGCAACGCACTGAGCCTCGCCTGCTCGTTTTCAAACGGATTGCAAGGCAGGAGGCGTGGTGCCTGCTTGTGTTCGGCCTATTTCTGCACTGCGCCGCTAAGGCTCGTTTCAAGGCAGGATGCAAGGCACGGTGCTGCCTTGCCCCACTTCCCGTTTTCCCTTCCACTGCCGGTTTCCCCTTCCCCTGCTGTTACCCCTACCCATTGCGCATGGAAAACGTTAATCTCTATTTCCCCTACCCCCAATCCCTCCCCATATCCCCATTTCCAAGCCACTCCCGTCACTCCCCTTCCCTCCGCCCCTACCCGATTCCTCTTTCCCCAGGGACTCCTCATATCCCCTTCCCTCCCCCTTACAAGCGTCACACCTCATATCATGTGTCCCATGTCCCTCCCCAGTTCCCCGTTTCCCATTCGCTCCCCATTTCCGCGTTTCGGAGTCACCGCTGTGTTTCCCCTTTCCTTAAACCCGCCCCATATCCCCGTTTCTCAGTCACTCCCCAATTCCCAATCCCTCTGACTCTCCCCCTTTCACTTACGTGCGTCACGCCCCATTTCCCCACCCCTCCGTCCCTGTTCACTCCCTTTTTTTCCAAAGTCACCCCTCGTAACTAGTCCCTCCGTCCCTCCTCATTTTGCCCCCCCTCCGACCCTCCCCATTTTCCCTTCCTTCCATCCCGGCCCATTTCCCCATCCCTCACTCCCTCCCCATTTTCCCTTCCCTCCATCCCTCTCCATTTTGCTGTTCCTCTGTCCCTCACCCTTTTGCACCACACACACCGCCGTCCCTCCCCATTTTGCCTTCCCTCTGTCCCTCCCCATTTCCCCTACCCTCTGTCACTCCCATTGCCCCTCCTCTATGTCCCTCCACATTACCCCTTCTCTCTGTCACTCCCTGTTTCCCTTTCCCATACTCTCCATGTTACCCCTTCCCTCTGAACCTCCCCATTCCCCCTCCCTCTTTCCTTCCCCAATTCCCCTTCCCTCTGTCCCTTCCCATTGCCACTTCCCTCTGTCACTCCCATTACCGCTTCCCACTGTCCCTCCCCATTTCCACTGCCCTCTATCCTTCCCTATCTAGTCTCCTCTTTCTCACTCCCATTTCCCCTTCCCTTTGTCTCTCCCATTTCCCCTGCCACCTGTCCCTCCCATTTCACATCCCCCCTGTCCCTCCACCCGCCACTTCCCTCTGTCCGTCCCAATCTGTCCTTCCGGATTTCCCCATCCCTCTGTGCCTCCCCATCTCCCTCCCCTCTGTCCCTCCCCATCTCCCTCCCCTCTGTCCCTCCCCATCTCCCTCCCCTCTGTCCCTCCCCATCTCCCTCCCCTCTGTCCCTCCCATATCTCACCACTCTGTCCCTCCCCATATCCCACCCCTCGTCCCTCAACATATCCCACCCCTCTGTCCCTCACCATATCCCTTCCCTATGTCCCTCCCCAAATCCTTCTCTCTGTCACTCCCCATTTTCCTCTCCCAACACTCCATGTTACCCCTTCCCTCTGTGTACCTGGTGTGTGCCTTGTGTTCACCTGTGCGCCCCCACCTACCTTGCTCATTCCGTCACACCCATCACGCTCCTCTCCACAACCTTCCCACATCACCCATCCTCTTCACACCCTTTCGATGCTTGAAAGAGGGGTTGATCGGCATTGGGGCTCATGCAATGTCGCCCTCCCACACACCCTCGCTTGCCCTCCCTAATTTGCCAACCACCCTATGCCCAATGTGTCTGCCCCAGGCCATCCGTGCGAAGGGACATCAGCAGCCCGGCCCGGCCCAGCCTCCACATTTCCCCTTTTCTCTGACCTCCCCATTTCCCCTTCCTGTACAAATTCAATTCCCCTTGCCCCTGTCACTCCCCATTTCCCCTTCCCTCTGTCCCTTCCCCATTTCCCCTTCCCTCTGTCCCTTCCCAATTTCCCCTTCCCTCTGTCCCTTCCCCATTTTCCCTTCTCTCTGTCCCTTCCCAATTTCCCCTTCCCTCTGTCCCTTCCCCATTTCCCCTTCCCTCTATCCCTTCCCCATCTCCCCTTCCCTCTGTCCCTTCCCCATTTCCCCTCCCCTCTGTCCCTTCCCCATTTCCCCACCCCTCAGTCCCTCAGCATTTCCCCTTGTCCTGTCACACCGCTTATCCCCTTCCCCCTGTCCCTCCCCATTTCTCCTACCCTCTGTCCCTCCCATTTTCCCTTCCCATACCAGCCCAAGTCCCCTTGTCCCTGTCACTCCCCATATCCCCAGTCCCCTGTCTCTCCATGTTTCCCCTTCCCCTAATCCCTCAGCATTTCTCCTTGTCCTGTCACTCCCCTTATCCCCTTCCCCCTGTCCCTCTCAGGCACCCATTTTCTCTGACCTTCCCCATGTTCCCTTCCAGTACCAGCCCATGTCCCCTTGTCCCGGTCACTCCCCATGTCCCCTTCCCCCCTGTCACTCCATTTTCCCCTTCCCCCAGTCCCTCAGCATTTCCCCTTGTCCTGTCACTCCCCTTATCCCCTTCCCCCTGTCCCTCCCCGTTTCCCCTTTTCTCTGACCTTCCCCATGTTCCCTTCCTGTACCAGCCCAAGTCCCCTTGTCCCTGTCACTCCCCATTTCTTCCTTCCCCTGCCACTCCGTGTTTCCCCTTCCCCCAGTCCCCCAGCATTTCCCCTTATCTTGACACTCCCCTTATCCCCTTACCCCTGTCCCTCCCCATTTCCCCTTTTCTCTGACCTTCCCCATGTTCCCTTCCGATACCAGCCCAATTCCCCTTGTCCCGGTTACTCCCCATTTCCCCTTCCCCCTGTCACTCCATGTATCCCCTTCCCCCAGTGCCTCAGCATTTCCCTTTGTCCTGTCACTCCCCTTATCCCCTTACCCCTGTCCCTCCCCATTTCCAATTTTCTCTGACCTTCCCCATGTTCCCTTCCTGTACCAGCCCAAGTCCCCTTGTCCTGTCACTCCCCTTATCCCCTTCCCCTTTGTGCTTCCCCATCTCCTCTTCTTTCTCACACCACAATTTCCCCTTCCGTTTTGTCTCTCCCATTTCCCCTGACCTCAATCCCTCCCATTTCCCATCCCCCCTGTCCCTCCCATTGCCACTTTCCTCTGTCCCTCCCAATTCCCTTTCCATCTGCCCCTCCACATATCCCTTCTCTCTGTCGCTCCCCAATCCCCGTTCCCAACACTGCATGTTACACCTTGCCCCTGTCACTCCCCATTTCCCCTTCTCTCTATCCCTCCCCATTTCCCATTTCCAACACTCCATCCACCCTTTCCCTCTGTCCCAACCCTTTCCCCTCCCCTCCGTCCCTCCACATTACCCCTTCCCTCTGTCACTCCCTGATTCCCTTTCCAATACACTTCACGTGTTCCCTCCGTCACTCCCGATTGCCACTTCCTCTGTCCCTTACCAAATCCCCTTTTCTATATAACCCTCCCATTACCCCTTCCCTCTGCCCCCCACCCCCCCAGTTTCCCTGCCCTTTGTGCTTCCCCATCTCCTCTTCTCCTCCCCTTTTTGCCATCCGTCTGTCACTCCCTAATTTGCCAATCCCTCTGTCCATCCCCATCTTTCCTTCCCTCTGTCCCTCCCCATTTTGCCTTCCCCTCTGTCCCCAATTTCAGACACGCCTGCGGCCCCCCGCTGACTTAGCTCACATGTCTGGCGCAGATAGGGAGGGTGGCGAAGAGGGTATTGGCCGTGCTGCCTTAGTGCCGGATGGTGTAGCCAGGGAGACTGCGACGTCCAAGGCATTGCACAAGTTGCTGCACAAAAGAAAACTCACTCTCAGCTGTCACTTGACCACACCATGGGCCATCCTACGCTGCGGATTGGCAAGCCTCATGGGAGGTGGTTGCGTGCCACGAGACAGTGATATGGTATTCTTGTTCATCGAAGCCGCCCCCGCTCTTGTCGACTATTTAGTTGACGCAGCCTCTGCTGCAGGTATGACAAACGAATCAACCATGCTCTTTTGCCCCATCCTAATGTCTTTCCAGCCCATCTTTGTCATCCGATAGCCCAGATGCACATCTGTTTGAATGTCATTCACCAAGCTGTTCATGTTTATCCATAATTTTCAAGCACATACACATCGCAACCCATCCCATCCTACTGCCCACATGCCCATCCCTATCAAATCCTCAATCAGATTTGCATCACAATCTCACCCTAAATCCATCATGCTGAGCACATGCTCATCCCTGTCAATGTGGTTTACCAAGTTGCGAAATGCCTTGTGCGCATGTGGTGAAGGTGCGAGGGGATACGGCGTCAAGTCTTCGTTCAAAGCGGGTGTCGATGCACACGCGTCATCAGTGCGAGTAAGGAAGAGAGGTCAATGATTCCCTACAGTGAGGGAGCTTTATTCCCTCCGCTCGACACCAATCGGTGGTTTGGAGTACAGCTTTATCGCAACGCCGGAGGAGCAGAACGCCGCTGAGCCGGTGCCTGAGTTTCGATGGGGTGGGGCCAGACGTGGAACAGCCTATCAGTCGCTGAAAATGTCCGGTAAGAGGCTATATTCTTATGAGTGATGCATTGGAATTGTGGATATTGTATGTCAGGATGTGTTACTTTGCTTATATATTTTTTGGTGGGTAACTGGTATTACAGTTACAACATGCTCAGCGTGTTCTATCTCATTTTCAAATGTCGCCCCTACGTGTCGACCCCCATGTTCAGTGCCCGGGACATTCCAACAAAGGGCGCGGTCAAAGTCCCCACGGCATCTGCCACGCATTACAACCCGTGCCGGCACGCTGCGGGAGCCCTACTATGGCATGACGCAGCAGGATATGGCAGGCGGAACCACGAGCGCGGATGTTGAGGAGGGGTTGCAGGAGGAGGCAGTCGCAGAGGGCGATGGGAGCAACGAGGGGATCGGCGGTGAGGATCAAGAACATGCGACATCCGGCATGGGTGTCGGGAGGGGCCGACACATGCCGACAAGCAGGGGAGGTGTGACGAACATGGTGGACGAATCAGCTCCAACAACGACAGCAGCCACAAAGTGAGATGGACGGGCATGGTTACCGCAAATGACGTATATGCGTTCAGAACTTTTATTTGCTATTCGGAGATGTTGTCGAACATGCTGGTTGGAGCTAGATTTCTAACGCATTCATCAATGTGTCCATGAACCCCAAATGCCCAACAGTGACGATCCCCATCATCAGGGTTTCGGATGCGGTGTCCCGCGAGGCTGGCCATCTTCACCGAGCCTTACTAACCTTAGTAAGGGTACAATGTGCTACTTGGACACTGTATGGTTTGTAAGGTTGATGTTGCTCTTCTCTCTTCAGTGCACAGCTGGTGTAGCGTGCGGGGGGGCGATGCTCTTACAGTCATGGAAGAGGTCTTTGGGGGCATTTGGATTGTTATGGAGGTGCTTGAGGTGTAAGCGCACAGAAGTTTGGTGGAATTGTAATCTGTTCGTACCAATCTGTCCTTCCCCTACAGTCTCTCCCCCTCTGTCCTTCCCCTTCTTTCTCTCCCCCTCGGTCCTTCCCCTTATACCTCTCCCAATCTGTCCTTCCCCCTCTGTCTCCCTCCCTGAGTCCTTGTCCCTTTGTCTCAAACCCTCGGTCCTTACCCCTCTCTCCTGAGAGGGGTACATGATAACCGCGGATGGACATGGGGAAGAGAGCAAGGTAGTGAGGGATGGAGAGAGAGGAAGAGAGGGTAGAGATGGGGGTTCCCAGGAGAGATGGAGGGAGGAAGAGGCGATTCGGGTGGTTGGAGGTGTGTTACCGGGGGAATCATTGGCGGACTTCATGTGCGAGTATAGGCTGCGCGCGCGAGAAAATGAAGAGGCGGGGTCGACGGGGAGAAGCGCGTGGGAAACGACGAGGCGGGGGCGACGAGGTTCCGCGCGTGGGACAGATTGCGAGGCGGGGGCGACGCGGTCCAGCGCGTGGGAAATGACGAGGCGGGAGCGACGAGGTGAAGCGCGTGGGAAATCGCGAGGCGGGGGCGACGAATAGAAGCGCGTGGGAAATCGCGAAGCAGGGGCGACGAGGAGAAGCGCGTGGGAAATCGCGAGGCGAGGGCGACGAGGAGGTGTTGAATTAATGCAGCTTCGCGACTAAATCAGTCACGTGCACGGGAAGAAACAGGCACAAACGGATTTACTTGCACAAATCCGCGCATGCAACATTTCGATCGGTTCTGGTCTCGGGCTATCGCGCGCTGCGCCGTGCCTAAACGGGCTCACCACTAGCTTCGACTAATCGCCGTGGGAGGTGCTACTGTGGCTATGCTACTCAGTGTCGAGCGGCTTTGGTCCCGCACATTTAGGCCCTGTTCGATAGCGAGGGTGACCCATGCCAGAAATCATTGAGGTGGCCTTGTTCCTTGGGCGGGAAACGGTTTGCGACCCCATGCGATGGTACATAATTCCCGCCATTGCGAACGACCCCCCTGCGATGCCCTTGGTTTCCCGCCCAGCTGCTAAAACATGGCGGGAATTTTAACGGGGTGGTTTGACACCACAGCGCGCAGTAACAGTGACTGTCGCCTAATCATTACAGCCCATCCCTGGTAAAATTTCAGACCATTGCCAATGTTACTTTTCAAATGAGTGGCCCCAATGCCAGACCAATGGGCTATTTAGGGATAGTCGTGCCAAACAAAAGGTATAAACCAGTCACACCACAAATCCTTTCGACACACCTAACTAATCCTAAAACCGATCTGGAATACTCTATACATTTTCAGCACAAACATTTGGGTGGGGCTTTTGTTTTTACGCAGACCGTCGAACCCTCGGGCAGACCCCGCGGCTGGAAACAGTCCGCTTCAAAGGGCCGTTGAGGTGGAGCTTTTCGACCACCTCGGCCGTCTTCGGGTCGGCCAAAATGATTACACTGCCGGCGCTGTCCTACCACTTGCATTTTGTCGCGACGCTGAACCATTTGGGCGACAGAGCCAAACCAAATGGTTGCGTCGTGGGGGCCCAAAGTGCTATCGAACAGGGCCTTAGTCAGGGGGTAGGCAGGGCGTGTTCGAGATGAGCGCTGCTCATTTCTCTCGTGGCTTTTGTTGAATATGTTTCAATTGGGGTGTTTCTGTCGCGGGGTGCAGGTGCTGCAGGGGTGTTCATTCTGCCTTGACGGTCCAATCAGAAGATGCATATCCTACACATGATTGGGTGAGGAGAAGGTTTGCTCGCTAATGCATTCACAATGCTGTCGCCAACCGCACATGCGATCAAATGGACCCTGCTTTTTTTTTGCTCCCCACAACCGTGGGGTACATGCCTCCTTTTTTTTGGCGCGCAAATTCTGGCCATCCACCCGCACTCCTTCCCGCCACTTCACTCATTTCAACCTGGACCCAACTAGAAAACGGGGTCACTATTTTGCCTGCTCGCTTTAATGAGGTGGTGTATGAGAACAATAATTAATTAAAAAAAAAATACAAAGAGTTCAAGAAAGAATTATACTCCTAGAAAGACATATACTCCTGAAATGCTCCTCCAATATAATGTATATGTGTGTTCAACAGAGCCTCTACCGAAATTATAACCACCACTGCAGCGTCACGCAATTCTTGAACAGACACTAGCTACAATTTCACAACCTTAAAAGATCACCGCTCCGTATTTGTCGAACTACCGTACTGAATTGCGATCAAGGATTTTCTTTATCTCAACAAAAGCAAGCTACCGGTGCCGTAAAATGATAAGCACTTCATTTTGCAAAGTTGTGATTACATGAATTAGGTTGAAAGCTCGCACTGTTGATGGGGCTAAAATTGCACTATGTCCATTTGTACGGTAGGGAAAGTGCATAACACTTTGTAGCCCTATTATCGAGTCTTGAGTTCGTCCTTAATCAACCCGTAAATTTAAGGGCAGATTCGGGCACCTCGGCTGAAACGCCTTGGTGAACACATCAGCAGTGTTGGCCCGAGTGGCCACGTAAGCAAGACGAAGCTGACCACGCTGCTGCAGCTCTCGAGCAAGGAAGTAGTGCAGAGCGATGTGCTTCGTTCTGTGCTCCAGTCTGTGCTCCTGACACAAGGCAATGGCGGCCTTGTTGTCAACGTACAGCACTGGAGGAGAACGAGGCCGCTCTCCCAGGTCGGTCAGCAGGTAGGTGAGCCAGCGTAACTCCTGTGCAACCATGGCTGTGGCGTAGATCTCAGCCTCACAACTGGAGCTGAGAACTGAAGACGAGCGTGTAGAACGCCAAGAAACTGAACCAGAGCCAAGGCTGAAGGTGTAACCCTGAGACGACCGTTGCGTAGCCTGGTCGTCAGCCCAAGAAGCGTCTGAGTGCCCAGTGAGGACAACTCGAGCCCGTCCTTCAAGCACAAGCCCCATGCCCGACGTACTGCACAAGTAGCGCAACACCCTCTTAGCTGCATCCATGTGCTCCTTCCGGTGACGGCCAGGAGCGACATAGCGTGCTAGGATGCTAAGAGGGTATGCAAGGTCAGGTCGAGTGCAGGTCATCAAGTACATGAGGCAGCCCACAAGCTCTGGATACGGGCCACTCGGCTCTACGGACTCATCCGAAGGCAGAGCTGAGAGCGAGTGACCGGTAGGCAGAGGAGTGGGCTGAGGCGAGGAGTACGTGAAGCGGAAGCGCTGAAGGACCTGCTGCACCATGTGTGACTGAGTCAAGGTGATGGTGCGCTGTGCTCTGTCCCGGGTGATCCGCAAGCCAAGATAGCTTGTCAGTTCACCCAGGTCTGTGCACGTGTGTCTCTTCTGCAACTCCGACTTCACGTGGGCGAGTGCCTCAGTGTCAGCAGTAGCAAAGACCAAGTCGTCTACGTAAACGAGAACGTAGAACGGCGGCTGAGTGGTGTCGGTGCGTAGAAACAGCGACGGGTCAGCAGTAGAAGGAGCAAACCCAAGAGCAGCAAGAGTAGTCCTCAGTGTGTCGTGCCACTCACGGGGTGCCTGGCGGAGACCGTAGACTGGCCGCCGGAGGCTCCACTGGGTACCAGGAGGGAACGACCCAGTGAAGCCAGGTGGGCGGCGCAGCCAGATCTCCTCGTGCAGGCTGCCCTGTAGGAACGCAGTGCTGAAGTCAAGAGAGTGGAGCTCGTAGTCACGCTGAGCGGCGACGTGCAGCAGAACCCGAAGAGTGGTCATCTTCGGGGTCGGGGAGAAGGTCTGGAAGAAGTCAACTCCCTCTCGCTGACTGAAGCCTCGTGCAACGTAACGCGCCTTGAAGACAGGCGGAGAACCCGGCGGCCGCTTCACCCTGAAAATCCACATGCCACTGACGATGTTCGCCCCAGGTGGGGGAACCTCGTCGACGTAGGTGCCTGTGGACTTCCAAGAGGCCATCTCTGCGTCCATGGCTGTCTGCCACTGAGAGGAGTAGGGACCCTCCATCGCCTCTGCGTAAGAGCGTGGGGTCGGGATGTCTGGTGCATCCGGGTCTCCCTCAGGGGCAATCAGCATGGACACGAGGTGAGGTAAAGCAGCGGCAAAGCACTCAAACTCCTCCTGTCTGTCCTCAAGGACGTCCGTGCCAAGAGCACACTCACCCCCGACGGACGGAGGACAGACAGACTCAGACTCAGCAACAAGGCTAGCGGCGTAGTCTAGACGACAGGCGGCAGCAAAGTCAACAAGCTCAGCGACTAGAGCAGACGCAGCAGAGGACTCAAAGGAAGGGTCAGTAACAACAGTGGCGAGGAGACGCGTGACAGTAGGACTGGCAGCACGAAGAGAGTCAGACTCCGGGTCAGCAAGAGCAGGAAGAGAGGACGCTGGAGGAGACGGCAGAGGGACACGCTGTGGAGCAGTGGAAGGACGCAGGGTCATATAGTGAGTGCCAAGGACAGGAGGAGGACGCTGACGCGGAGCACGACGACCAGCGCGGACAGGCGACTCTGGACGCGACTCAGACGACTCTGGACGAGACTCAGGCGACGGAGGACGAGACTCAGGCTCACGACGCTCCGTAAAACCTCCCGTCGGCTCAGCGTAAGGAGAAGGACCAGGCAGTGGAGAGGCTGGCTGTAACTGTGACTGCGACAAGACAGGCGGTGGACTCAGTAGGGGAGGAGTAGGACCAGGAGAGGGCGGGAGGCCAAGAACCTGCTGAAGGAGCGGAACGTAGTATGGCCGCGGCCGCTCAGCACCTCCTGAACCAGCAGAGACAGCACCAGTACCCTCAGCCCCAGGGTCTCCAGCTACAACTCCCGCAGCACCACCAGCAACCCCAGCAGCTCCAGGACCTCCAGCACGAGCACCTCCAGAAGCACCATCAGCACCTCCAGCACCAGCAGCGTCTCCAGCAGCTCCAGCACCAGCAGCACCTCCAGCAGCACCACCAGCAGCTCCTGCGCCAGCAGCACCAGCACCTCCAGCACCTCCAGCACCAGCAGCGTCTCCAGCAGCTCCAGCACCAGCAGCACCTCCAGCAGCACCACCAG